GGGCTACGGTATTCTTTTCCCCAGGAAAGGGCCTCATGACTATAAGCCACAATATTATGTCCCCTAGGCGAGGGCCTCTGCTAAGGATACCACAATTTCGTTTCATAGCAAATTGGACAATCATTCATTCACACAAAACATAGCATTTCAGAAACTTGTCATCTCATATCATCGGAAAATATTCATAGTTAAACATAACTTTATAGAGTTATTACTCACAGATAATTGAGATAATTGGTAGCTCCAATTAGATGACAAAGTGGCCAATTCACTTATCTCGAGGCGCGTGGCCTACATAACATGATAGATACATATGTTAAATTCCACACTCAAACTGAACATAACTTGATTCATTGCTCTTAGTGTGTTTCTAGCCTTTAATCCTCATCATGGAGTCTTAACATGGCCTAGGAATGCCTAGGATGGAATAAAGATGCAAAAATGTGTTGGGAAACATTTTTCAAAACTTACTGAAAATAGGGTCTATGCTCGAGCGTGAATTTTTCCGCTCGAGCGGACATGCAGGCAATGAAGCTCCGCTCGAGTGTGACTTCCCTCGCTCGAGCGGACTACAAACTTTTGAAAAAGTACTGGTTGCATGTTTTTCACGCTCGTACTCAGAGTGTACGCTCGAGCGTGAAGTCCTCTGCTCGAGCGTGGATCAAAAATCTAGAATTTCCAGATTGATCCCCAAGCACAAAACTCAACCTTTAAAGCTTCAAACTCGATTTTTCTAGGCCAAACTTTTGAAAAACTCAAAGAGATTCATAAAACAACATGATCCAAAGATTACTTCAAGAATTCATGGCCCAAAAGCTTGCCAATTGCACAAAAGTTCAACTTAAAATTCAAGTATGATCCATAGACAAGACATGCATGCAATGATTTAATCTTCAAGCCTCCAAATCATGACCAAATGCTACCATCTAACATGAAAATCATTGTTTTCCTAAAATTAAAGTGAATTGGAGACATGCATGAGACAAATCTTTGAAAACACATTTAAAACTTCATGAAATGCATATGCAACCCAAATTTATCCTCAATTCCAACTTTTAGCTCAATTCTTGCATTAATCAACTTAACCCTTTTGTTTTTATGCACTAGAGTCTAGACTTCAAGGCTATAAGACAAAATGCTTACCTAAAGGCTTGAATTTACAATGGTTGAAGTTAAGATCTTCAAATTTCCTCCAAATGCCAACAATTTCCCCTTAATTGAGCTCAAGTTTCCAAGCTTTACCCCAATTCTCCCTTCTCTCACTCTGTCACCCGTTTGTCTCTCTTGGGTGATCTCAAAACGTGATGGAATCAAGAAAAAGAAGTGAGTGGGCTCAAAATGGTGCGTTAAATAGGCTTGGATACAAGTATGATTAATTGAGCTTAATTGGTGCACATTAATTTAATCTAATTTAATCGTTTCGAATCGAATTTTAATTAGACCTATTATAAAATTCTATAAATCCTAATTAGCATATAAATCAAGTCAATTTCTGTATCGGATGCCGATAAGGTCTTCAATTCGCAAATCGAAACTAAAACATGAACATATCTTTCTACGCTAAACAAATAGAGACACATTAATAATGCAATACACATGTCATTGACTCATGATTTCTTCTTAATCACTTGTTAGGCACACTTAAGCATGAATTAACGTTAATTAAGGGTCGGGGTTGTTACACTTACGCACTTACTAAAATTTATAGTTCTATTCTTCTTATGAGAACTCAACATATTCTACTGAAAGTGAAAGTGAGGACGACTTTGACCGAGTTGAAAAGAAAAATAGGTATAAGAAGAGAGAGAAGAAAAGACAAGGGAATAGCTCAAAAGATGAAGTTAGAGGTAAGTCAAAGAAGTCGAGAAGGAGGAGAAATGATTATTCATTTGAAGACTATTCTTCGAATAATTCTCATGTTGAAGATAAGGAAAGCTATTCTCATAGAGAAGATAAGCATCGAAAACGAAGTAAAAGTCATGGATAGAAAAGGGTTAGCAAAAAAGGAAGGCTGCTCTCATAGAGACACTCCGACGATAAAGCTAGCAACTTGAATCAAAGAAAGAAGATGGGTGCCCTCTTTTTATATAAATAAGGGGTGTGATATTTGCTTGGTAGATATTGTTTGGACTTGTTTGTTGGTCTTGGCCTATACTTAGGCCTTATTTGGATTAGCCTAATAAGTTGATTTTTTTTTTTCTAACTCCCCTTCTATACACACACACACATATATATAATCACGTATATCGATATAACTAATTGATCTATTTTATTTTTTTAATAGAGGCGAAAATGATATTTTCATACATTATATAAACAAAATAAAAAACAAAACTGCATGATAATGAATCATAGTGAATCACAATGAATTGCACGATTCACTCAAAAGTGGTAACATTGTGGGAATTAGAAGCATATTGTCACGGCCTTGCTTATTCTCTAGCACACCGTGCAGCACTTAGACAATCTCAAGCCTCACTTAATGATGTTAAGTCAGCCTAACTCACAACTTGTAGGAAAGAGAAGCAAGAGGAACACAAGAGAGTTTGAGGGAATGGATGGTAGTTTACTCTTGAGAGAAGTTGCACAACTCTTAGACGGTTTGGAGCAAATGAGCTCCTCCCCTATTTATAGGCACTCTTAGCCTCTCATAGAACACTCTAGAAGCCACTAGGAAATACATAGAGAAGCTTCCTTCTAAAGCCTTTCTTACAAGCTACAAGAATATTCTAGGATGCTTTAGAAATATCTATACAAGATATTTACAAGTCTAGTATGTACAAGGGTCTTGAATACTCAAGGATGTTCTAGAATCCTCCATGTTCTCTCAAGTGTTGGAATGAGTTAGGAAGTTCTAGATCCTTTTATTGACCTCTATGCTCCCAAGCTCTCATGTAGGGAATTTTTGCCATAGGAAATTTAGTAGCTTGTGACATTCTCCCCCACCAATGTTGGCGACGACCTCGTCGCATCTTTCCTGCAGAACTTTTGTATTTGCTCCTAGAATTGCCATAAAGCTTCTGTTGGCTCATATGGGTAGGGAAACGGACAAGCATGGAGGCAGGTAAGGTAATGTCTCCTTGACAAGAGCGCTAGGGACTGGTGGTGGTAGCATGTCACGTACCGACTCATTGGGGATGCGAGTTTTATACTAAGCACCTTGCAAGCGCATTAGTTTGTGAGTGATAAGGTAGGTAGGGTAGATCCCTATTGCATCTCGTAGGTTAGTCCTTGGGCATAATGCACAGGGTACACAGTACCACTCGTGGAATCAGCTTCTCGGAAGGATGACATGCGCCCAGTCCATGACAATGTAAATTTATAATTAGCATATTTTGGTAATGATTATATTGTGAAATATAGGGGCACTTGTAGTTTCCCTTGGAATTAGAATTATTAGTCACGGGTGAAACTCCAACCATCATGCTTTTACCTTGCTAAATGTAGATTGTGAGGTCAAAATGATATGTGACTTTTAGTTCCATAGTTCCTTAATATTTTCTCTAGTTTCATTGGATTGATGAGGAAAAATATTTTTCTTTTACTATATATTGTGTTCGTGTGGATGTTATTGTGTCTAAACCTTAGTTGCATGAAATGGGAGTGGAAGCAATAGCGGAATCAAGGAATCGTAAACATTCCAAGAATCGTTGGTAGGGAGCGTTTGTAAGTATATATTATTTTTTTTGAGCTGGTCAACACAAGACAAGATAATAAATTAGTTTGGTGGTGTTACATGTAGGGGCGGAGGAAAAGAGGGTCTAGGGGGGTCACGTGCCCCTGGGTTTTGGAATTTTTTTTTTTGGCAAATATAAAGAAAATATTTTAAATAAAAAAATTTATAAAAATATTATTTAGAGTGAAATGTCAATAATATTTTTAAAATTATAAGAACAATAATGATTGTTTTAATTAAAAATAAAGAGACTACGATATTATTATCTATGAAAATTCTAATATAATGATAATATCTATCATTATTGACATGCAAACATAATTAACCTCAATAAAAATATAGAGTTTATTAAATTGTTAGTTACATTTGGCATGTAGGGTTAATCCTTCATATGTTTCTTTACTATTGGTTAGTGATATCACATGTCAATGATGACGTTGTATGGCTATTTTATTGAATTTTTACGCATATTTTGTATAAAATATTACTTTATCATTATATACTAATTTATTTTAAAACTTTATATTCATGACTTTTTTTAATATTGTCCATGATACACTAATTACAAATTACATTCGCTTTGTTTGGTTTGAGTTTTCTAAAAACACATTCCAGAAAATTTTACTTTTTTATTTTTCATATTTTTTTACTGAATTTTTTTAGTATTTTAAGCAATTTTTTTTTTAATTTTTAGACACACTTAATATAAATACACTTAAAAAGTATATTTTTTGCAAAATAAATCTTTAAAAAATTCATGAAATACCAAAAATATAGAAAAATACCAAAAATAATACATTTTTCGTATTTTTATGTATTTATTAATTTTTGAAATATTTTTCACAAAATTTTATTTTGTTAGATACATCTAAATAAGATGCATCTAAAAAAATATAAAAAAATTTTAAAATTTTAAAAATATTCACTAAAAAAAATGAAAAAAAACTTAATTCAAAAAATTCAAATTAAACACGTTGATTATTATTATTTTTTTATCTTTCTTGAAGTCAATCGTAAAAATTTTTGTTATCCACCTCGGTGACAAAGTTCACGTGACATATTCTTACAACAAATTACCTTTTTCAGTTTTTACTTTAATTTATTGGGGTGCATTTATGCCCGAATAATTTTACAAAATTCATTTGAAATTTGAAAGTCGAAACTAACTGGATCTATATTTATATTTTAGCAACAAATTTGATTAATTAATTGTACTGTGCCTAAATGCACGGGTATACACCGTGCCTTCAGGCACAGGCATACGCTAATATTATATAAAGAAAAATTAATAAATTTAAGTGTTAGACTTTTCAGTCTCGTAATACTAACGAAGAAAAAGATGGAAGAGAGAGTCAAGAGAGACAGAGAGGTCTGGCAGCGATTGAGAGGAAGGAGGGGATTTTGCTTTCAACAATCGAAGAAGATGAAGATAAAAGAGCCTGCGAAGCAAATACATGGAAGAAGAAGCTCCACTTTCGTAGCCCTAATCGTAAGACCAGATCAGGTTTTTCTTTTCTTCGCTTTTCTCTCAACAGAAACGCGATTCTCTCTCAATAGAAACGCGATTCTTACACAACGTTTCTCTCTAAGAAGCGCAGTTTCAGTAAAATTTCAATGACTAGAATGTTTATCATTTTATTTTTTATTTTTTTGGGACTAGAACCGAGTTTGGCGGATGAGACGTAATCAGCATTGGCGTTATATTGTCAATCTGTGTTTAAGGAGAAAGGATTGGATTGTTATCGATTAATAACTTTAATTGATACGTTAGGGAGGTTGCTATTTCACAGTGGCTAATGTCCTATTTTTCAGGAATTTGAAGTATTTTAGTTATTGGAAAAACTAATTTCAATAGTTATTATATTTTTTTCTGTGGAGAAAGTAAATTATTTATACATAAACTAAGTAATGAATGTTTGGTCTCTGTCTCTTTTCTTCATATTGATATTTATGCATTTAGGCAGTAGTTTTTACATATATATATATTTTTTATTTTTTTGTCAGATGAAAGAAAATCCCAGAGAATTGAATCCATATTTTAAGAATAATGGAACTGGTTATCCGGAAGAAGCTGGTGGGACAAAGGCTGGACGGAACCAACTTCTGTCTTCTGCTGTTGTTGGAGATGGAGGTGCAAGTTGGAGACTGAAAGCCTTGAAGCGAGCTCAGGAGCAGGCAGCTCGTGAAGGAATGGCCCTTGAGGAGGTAATTATCTTGTGCTTTTTTGATGTAAGGTAGGGTATCTTATCTTCTATCTTTATCATTTTGATGTGATGCACTAAAATTGTATAGGTTGTTGGAGAGCAGTGGGGATCCCTAGGTCAGCTGGCAGTTTCTGTGGCATCTCGTACAGCTGCTCCATCGCGTGCTCACCTCCGTGCCATAAAAAATAGAAAGAAGGGGCTAAGTGAGGAACAACAAACGACTGTGGATGATCGGAATGAAAAGGTTACTGAAAAGGTACTTAGCTATTGCCAATGGTATTGTTAAATTTACCATTTATGTTGTCCAATATGTGAATCATGTCGTTTAAGACAGTGATCTACATCTTGGGGATGAATTTTGCAAATATGTTTTCCTGTGTTTAAATATATATATATATATATATATATATATTTATTTCCTGTCTAATTCTGAACTCGAAACGAAAGTAAAGATATGTGCTTCCTTTTAACTTGCATGTTATAATTTTTGATCAGAATATTGGCCGAGAAAGGCTAAGGGATCGTCGTCATTCAGAGATGAAAGTGCCTAAGCTTCATGATTCTTTATCTTGGGGCAAGCGGAAAAGTCAAAGCATGTCATCTAATAAAGATTCTGATCTTATCTCTACTGCAATGGCAAGCTTAAATAAGTTTGCAAACGATGGCAACTTTATGAGCGAAGTTATTCGTCAGCAGAACGATGACCGCGGTGGTTCTCCATATAATTGTGAGAGAAATGTGGAGTCAGAAATGGTTTCATTTGAATCTCAGAAACCTGGTGAATCTAGTGCAATTGTTAATCAGGGAATGAGTGCTAACCAGTTGGCCGCAAAAGCTTTGCAACTTTGTTTGAAAGGAAAGCATGAAGAAGCTGAAAAACTTTTGGTGAGACAAACACTTCTCCTTACTATTTCTACTTCATAGTCTGTGTGTGTGTGTGGGTGCGTGCATGTTTTCTGTGTTTGTTTTTTTCTGTTATGTTTTCGGAATCTATATATTATTAATCTTTTTTAGGGGGAGATTAGGGCATATGACACGGACTTGATAAAAATTATAAGAAGCAAAAGGCATGTTGGTTTGTTTACTCATGTGATTGATTGTCAATATTAAGTTATTAACTTGCTTGTTTTCCAGGTTGTACTCAATTATTTTCGAATTGAAGCAAAGACTAAGAAGTGGATTTGATTGCTGATTTTCTTGTACACAACAGTTAATTAACACATTACTCATAATGGGAGTGCTTTACTCATTGAGCTGCATGTTTTGCTTTATTAGTGTAAAATTGTATTTTCATATGATTGTAGGAACTCTTCCCAGTTGAAGCACTGCAGCTTTTGATATCCAGAGGTTGTCCCATGGAACCTCAAGGGTTTTATTTTCTATTTTACGTGCTTTGTGTGGGTTGGTGCATCTGACCTCGAGGTTGGAATTAGGCCAACTGTTGTGGCTAGGGTTTCATTATATTCCTTGAAAACTTAATGACATGATGCACTTAACTATTAAATAGTCTCCTTTTCCTATCTTCACAATCATTGTATTGTTGTTCTCTTTTTGGCTGTAGAATGTTATTATCCCCAGTTTGAGCCGCCTACCATGGAGCAAGCATCACTATCAGATGAACTATCCTGAGATTAACAACCTTGCTTTAATTGTGATACGAGGATAGGCTTTTATCTTAATCATAATTTGAAATAATAAGCTTTTAGTAATTTGATCACACAAAAACTTGTAGCAGAGATATTGGTATTTTTTGGTTAATGAGAAAAACGGATGTTAGGCTGAGTTTAGTAAATTGTGTAGTGTATGGGTTTATATGGGTTGGTGGTCATTTTAAAAAAATGGCAAAAGGTTAGAGGTATTCACAAAATGCAATGCCAGCCATTGCACATTTTGTTTCTATGGAAGCATGTATTTGAAATTACATTCTAGACCCTAGTTCTTGTGTAAAACATATTTATTGTATTGTATTGTGTGTGTGTTTGCGTTTTTTTAATTTTTTTTTCCTTTCATTTTGATTGGTATTGGCGGTTTGGCAATTTGGAACCTTGTTGCATTATATTTGAGCAATTTTTTTTGAACTTAAACGTTATAAGGGGTGATGTGTTTGGTGGACCAGTTACAATAGGATTGGGATTTCTCTTTGATTATTAATTCGAAGTGTGTTTTTATTTGTTGTTACCAGAAAGAAGTGGAGAACATTAAAGCGAAGCAAGGTACTGTGGATGAATCCAGTGAAGCACAAAATGAGAGAAACAAAAGAAGGCAATTTTTTGTCTCACAATTATTTATTCAGTTCAGGTGTTACCATTGAGAGTAAGATGCTGTCTCTTATATTGTCATTAGAAAATAATTTATGCTGAATTTAATTTTTCAGATATGGCACACGTGACACATCTATTCAGCAAAGAAAGAAAGAAGACGATGCTGACATGCACCTTGCCCAAAAGATAGCACAAAATAAACAGTACAGTATATCTGGTCGGGCAGATGATGAATATGATTTTGATGATGGTCCAAGGAGAAAGACTCGGAAGAAAGGGGCCAAAGATAATAAGTTAACTGAGAAGACTAATTTTCCCCAGCGAATCTTTACTCAGCAAGAGCGTTGCCAATTCTGTTTTGAGAACCCCAGCAGGCCAAGACATCTTGTGGTTGCTATAGCCAATTTCACCTACCTCAGTTTACCACACTGGCAGTCCATTGTGCCAGGCCATTGCTGCATTTTAACCTCGCAGGTTAGTATTAGTTTGTTAACTTAGTATATTATGTCATCTCTTTTCATGTTACTGAAGCAACTTGCGGTTGCGTTGAAGCTATGGATGATCATTAATTCATCACTTAGAAGTTAGGATATCTGTCTTGTTATTATTTATTCTTCATTTTATAGCTGTTAAAAATTAAGAAGCATGGACACTTACAAGGAGGTTCCGTGTCTATATCAAACATTATAACTCATTGGACACTCCTGTCACGTGTTGGACGCATGTCCAAACGTGTCTTGTCATTTGTTTTAGACCTGGACACGCTTTGGACACCTAAGGGATGCATGTGCCCATTGATTTATGCACATGCACGAGACATTGCAAGTTTGAAGAAGTAAGTTGGGAGTCAATGATTAAGATCAAAGCAATGTGGATGTAATGACTATTAGTCACTGCTTTCAACTCTTTAATTCTCAAAATTCTAATGCCTAACACTTGTAATTTGTTTATGAAAATGTTTTCTAAAATAGATTATTAAAGTTTTTTGTTTGCACTTATCTTCTAATATATACAATGTGGAAAATAATTCCTTATTATTTTGATGTAATATAATGCTTTTCTAATGTAAAAATAAAGCAATTGTTATTATTCTCATGTATGTATAAATATCTATTTTTTTTGTTGACATGTCCCTGCTTTGTTGTGTCCTGATTTTTTAAAAATTGTCATGCCAGCTTTGTCCCTTTTGCATCGTACATATCTATGTCTCGCGTTTGTATCTATGCTTCTGAAACAGGTCTATTTGTTAAATGACACTGTAGAAAATAGTCTGCATTTAGTTCCAGCCACCGTTCGTGGTCAGGAGGTTTCTGCCCGTCATAAGTGATAATGATAAGGCATTGAATGCTAGTTGAATCATAAATTTCTATAGAGGCATGTATTAATTATAATATTAATAATTAATACTGTTTAACTGCTTGTGGGAGAAAATGGACTTATATAGGTTGTCCATAGAAGCAATAGATAGACTTATTTCATTCTCATAGGATGTCCAGTCCCAGCCTCACTTGTTACTGTTTTGGACTCAAATTGGTTGCTTTATGTTCAATCACTCATTTCATTCTCATGGGATGTCCAGTCACCATCTCTTTCTTCATTGTTCTTATTGTTAATTTGGTCATTATGATTTTTATTCTAATCATTGTTTTTATGCGTAAACAGCATGAATCAGCCACAAGGGCTGTTGACAATAATGTGTGGGATGAAATTCGCAACTTCAAGAAATGCCTTATCATGATGTTTGCAAAGCAAGGGAAGGATGTAGTGTTCCTTGAAACTGTGATGGGATTGGCGCAGCAAAGGCGTCATTGTATGGTTGAGTGCATTCCTTTGCCCCAAGACATAGCAAAACAGGCACCTCTCTATTTTAAGAAGGTTTGGTTTTCTACTTTCATTTTCAATGTTATTTGCTAGTATTCAGATTGCATATTGATATTGAATCACTTTTCTTGCAAGTGTCACCATTTAATGGGCTGACAATTCCCCTTCCCCACCCCCTCTTTCTGTTTCATTTTTAATAAACCCTTGTGATTTTCTAAAAATCAAAGAATGAGATGACATTAGTGTAATGGGCATCCCATAGAGTTTATTTAATCAAGTTCCCTGTGATAAAAAAAAAGTTCCCTCTGTACAAGCAGGATATATCTGCTCTGGAATTAGCTGCTGAGTTGTTTGACTTAGCCATTCAACATTGAAATAGAATTACTAATTAGTTGTATGCTTTTTTATTTTTTATTTTATTATTATTTTTTTTTATGCTAGTAGGACAATGTTGCTTGAAAATACCTTCATGTGTTACACTGTTTAAGTTTCAACATGACACTAGCTTACAAGTGAGAGAGAACAAGCTGTTAGAGCTTGTTCTATTCAATCTTTGTGTTTACTTCAAAGTGGATCCATGGACCATGTCAATATAATGATATAAAAACAATTGGATTTTAATTCAAATATCATTGTGTGTTGTATTGGGGCAGTCTCTCTACATATACCCAACAGTGTTGTCTCAGTGGCATAATCAGTAGCACTTGTGAAGCGAGTGCAAAGAAGAAAATTGAAATCATTTTTTCCGAAGAAAACCAAGTGCTAAAAAAAGTACATAAAACTATGTTATGCAATTTTTTTTGTATATTACTTTTTATATCATACTATTTGTTGCAATGAGACAAATTCTTTGGATTATGGACTTTGAGCTTCTGAATATGCTTTGATACTTTAGAACATGGACTGCTGGCATGGAAAAACTGATTTCAGTGTTCTAGGTATTACCAAATTCTAGTATCCATTTTTTTAAGCCCCACACTGCTTGCCAATTGTATCCTTTGATTTGAGTGGTGTCTTTTTATGCTGCGAAGTTGATGAGCAGCATAAAGATGTGTAGATTAGCTGAAAATCCTCCCAGCCCAATCCCCGCAATTAGACTTCTGAGGCAATTATTCGTATGATGTAAACTATTAATAAACTCTTTTACTTACCCTTTGTTGGCAAAATGAATACTTATAAATGTTGAATGGTATGAGAAAGGTCATCAAGTTGACTAGGTTGGGTGATCTTCCATTCTTTTTAAGGCCGCCAAGTCTCCAACTTAGCTCTGTTAGATCTCTTACTGTAATTTAGAACTTTGATTTTGTTGCTTTTGACTGGTCCAATTTTGCCTGTGGTTTCAATATTGCATTCTCCTTATTATTTGATACCATGTGCTGTCTACTATAGAGCTTATATATTTGCCACCAGTATCTTGAATTTTATTTTATATATATATATATCTCTTACAATGTAGTTGTCAACTTGTAGTATGGAGCATTTAGATACTGAACCAAATGTGGTGGCTGATTTTGTCGTCTTACATTTTTTAGCCTGGTAGTAAGTAGTTATCACCAATGGAAAACTCTGTGAAATCTTGCTATTGGTGTTAAAAAAAGCAAGGATTACAAAAAAGATATGCCTGATTCTACTACTGACCAAACTAAAGATTGTTTTGGATCTCAAGCAATGTTGATGAAATTTAACTTACAAGTCTTTTATATTTAATTATTTTGCTATTTACATGTTTCTAAAATGAGTTGCTTCAGGCAATTGATGAAGCTGAAGGTGAGTGGAGCCAGCACAATTCAAAGAAGCTCATTGATACGAGTGAAAAGGGGTTGCGTGGTTCAATCCCCAAGGATTTTCCGTACTTCCATGTTGAATTCGAATTGAATAAGGGGTTTGTTCATGTTATGGACGATGAAAAGCAGTTCAAAAGCAACTTTGGACTCAATGTTATAAGGGGGATGCTGCGATTGCCGGAAGAGGACATGTATGGTCGTAGGAAGCATGATTCAGTGGAGACACAAAAGCAAGCTGTTGCACGTTTTGTCAAAGATTGGGAACCTTTTGATTGGACGAAACAACTGGACTAAACAGCATTCTATTTCCTTAACTATGTGATGCTCTTGTGCAGAATCAAAAACGGATGTTAGGCTGAGTTTAGTAAATTTTGATGAAAGAATTGGAGTAGTTCAGAATCAAAAACTTGTAGCAGAGATATTGGTATTTTTTGGTTAATGAGAAAAACGGATGTTAGGCTGAGTTTAGTAAATTGTGTAGTGTATGGGTTTTTATGGGTTGGTGGTCATTTTCTAAAAAAGGCAGAAGGTTAGATGTTTTCACAAAATGCAATGGCAGCCATTACACCTTTTGTTTCTGTAGAAGCATGTATTTGGAATTACATTCTAGACCCTAGTTCTTGTGTAAAACATATTTATTGTATTGTATTATGTGTGTGTTTGTGTTCTTTTATTTTTTTCCCTTTTATTTTGATTGGTATTGGGGGTTTGGCAATTTGGAACCTTGTTGCATTATATGTGAGCAATTTGTTTTTGAGCTTTAACGTTATAAGGGGTGATGTGTTTGGTGGACCAGTTACAATGGGATTGGGATTTCTCTTTGATTATTAATTCGAAGTGTGTTTTTATTTGTTGTTACCAGAAAGAAGTGGAGAACATTAAAGTGAAGCAAGGTACTGTGGAATAATCCAGTGAAGCACAAAATGAGGGAAACAGAAGAAGGTAATTTATTATCTCACAACTATTTATTCTGTTCAGGTGTTACCATTGAGAGTAAGATGCCGTCTCTTATATTGTCATTGGAAAATAATTTATGCTGAATTTAATCTATACCAACAAGCAGGCTTTACACTTTTCAGTTTTCCAGAAATAAGGTTTGGCATGTTTTGACCCATAATTACCTGATAAACCTCCCTTGTCTTCTTACTATATTTTCTGAGTAGACCTTGTCATTCTCATCATTTCTTTTTCCTTTAATTTTTCAGATATGGCACACATGACACATCTATTCGGCAAAGAAAGAAAATAGATGATTCTGACATGCACCTTGCCCAAAAGATAGCGCAAAATAAAGAGTATAGTATATCTGGTCGGGCAGATGATGAATATGATTTTGATGATGGTCCAAGGAGAAAGATTCGCAAGAAAGGGGCCAAAGATAATAAAGTTAAATGAGAAGACTAATTTTCCCCAGCGAATCTTGACACAGCAAGAGCATTGTCAATTCTGTTTTGAGAACCCCAGCAGGCCAAGACATCTTGTGGTTGCTATAGCTGATTTCACCTACCTCAGTTAACCACACTGGCAGTCCACTGTGCTGGGTCATTGCTGCATTTTAACTTCGCAGGTTAGTATTAGTTTGTTAACTTAATATGTTATCTCTTCACTTTTCATGTTACTGAAACAACTTGCGATTCTGTTGAAGCTATGGATGAACATTAATTTATCACTTTAGAAGTTAGGATATCTGTCTTTTTTGAAAATCCTAAGTGATTCGTGATTAGATCAAGATTAAAATGTTTCAATTCCCAATTATTCAAAACACACAATTTAAATCATCAAGCACTTACGAAAGTGATTTAGATTGTTGTTTTAGAAATAAACAATAAATCGACACAAACGATTTTTATGTGGAAAAATCACAATTGAAGAACCTTCAATTGTAATAAAAAATCACGGGTGAACCGCCACTAATCAATCCACTACTGAAGAAAGAAAGATTACAAAGATAACAAACAAATTATCCAACTCATCCAATTTGTCTTCGAACTTTCTGTAACTCTTTCACCAAGCCTTCGTCTCGGAACTGATTAATCTGAAGTTGAATTCACAACTTCACTTGTCGAATCAACGACTACGTACATAATCAAACTCCTTTGAAACTCCACGTTTAGATCTTCGGAATCCACCGAAGAGAACACTCTTGGATATGAAGCAACAAACTCCTTGATGTATGTATTTTAGATCATAAGTTTAGAACTCTCTCAAATCATCAAGGAAACCTCAACAATACTTTCAGAAGAAAACCTCAAACAAAACCCTAAGATTCTTAAACAAGATCTAGGAAAAAGTAAACCCTAAAATCAGCCTAAACATATATATATATATAGAAAACAGAGGTCGCGATCTCCGCTCAAGCGCAGGATAGCCCGCTCGAGCGGCTTCAGTAAAATACGCGTGTGACCAAACAGGTTTCTGCTCGAGCGCTAGAACACATGCTTGAGCGCGAATTCACACTTCTCAGTATGTTTACAGACATGACCAACTACTGAGACATCACATATTACGCTCGAGCGCCAATGGCCAATGGTCCCGCTTGAGCGGGAAAGACAAAAAACAAGGAAAAATTACAACTTTTCAAAACCAAGTTTGTACGAGGATTTGACAATAAAGGAATCTAACAATCTCCCCCTTTGTCAATTCCCGGACAAAACTCTTCTAAACAATTTTTCTTAAAACACGTACTAGACAACCTGACAACCTAGAAAATAAGTAAACAAAACAACTCTGTAATTAACAAACAACTCTGCCAAACATCCACCTGTGAGACAGCAAGCAACATACCAGAAAAACAAAAACTCAGGAACTTCATAAGAAGATATCAAAACATATATATAAAGAAAACCACTATACTATATCCAGAATGAAAAAACAAAATGAATGTACCATAACAAGAACAAAGTATCCATCAGATATCAATGTACCATAACAAAAACAAAGTATCCATCATAGAGCAATGTACCCAAAAAAAACACCAAAAGTATTCATCATATATCAATGTACTCATATATCAATGTACCATATGTACCATATCCATCCAAAAACTTCTCCCCCTTTTTGGCCGGGAGACAAGGAGACAAAACAGTCCAACAAACAAAGGGATCAAGCAAGGATGAGGCTGCTGAATCGGAAGCAAAGAAATAATGTGAGCCAGCTGAGTAGTAGTCTGGACGGCGGATTGCTCCATCTGTCCAAGGCGGCCATCGAAGGCATCAAACCTAGCATCCAGAAAATCCAACCGCTGTGTCACAACTTCCTCGAAATGTCGAAGCTGGTCATGAAAAGTCCGGGATGGAACAGCATCCTTCTCACCACCAGCTGTGGCGGGATCAATCTCTGCCTCCTCGGCAAGTCTAGCTGCTGTACTTGCGGAAGTACCAACCCTAGAAGACTTCCCCTTGACATGTGCACGACTCTGGGAAACAGTCTTCTTAGTGAATGGCCTAGATGGAAAGGTAAACTCATCATCCTCTAAAATTGGAACTTCAAGCTGGGACAAGAGACAGTTGATTAAACAACCATAAGGGAGACCTAATTGCTTGTTACCAAAGACAGCAATCATCTTACGAATAATGAGGGTGGCAAGATCGATGGACATATGACGAGCAATACAGAAAAGAACGAACCCATGTTCTTGATTGATTTAAGAAGAGTGTGTGGTGACAATAATATTAGCACACGATAAGATTAAGCAGTCGAAACTCAGGAAGGAGTTCAAACTGTTTAATTAAAGTGCTCTTAATCCAGTTACGAGGAGTACCACACAAAACTTCAGCCACAACATTAAAATCACAAGTACGACGAACCGGAAAAGAATAATGTTCCGGAAACACTTGGTCAATACTAAGAAGCCCTCTAATAAGCTCGGGAGTGACAAAGATGGACTTAGACCGAACCCAGGTGGTGAAGGAAGGACTAATGTCATCGATATTCTCAATATTACAGAAAAACTCACGGATCCAGTCAAGGTTTTGGCGTCCGGAGAAGGACAAAACCAAGTCTCCGCGTAATGGATCAAACAAGGGACGGATGGGAATAGACTCGAAGGTATTGGGCTGGACATGACGTTCGAGGTGAACAGTCCTAGACGCAAATGACTTACGGAATAACTTGGCTTGTTTTGCTGAGGGAAATCTATCAGGATTAAACGAAGGACGCAACATTGTAGACTTTCGTCTTTTGGGAGCAGACATTATGACACCAAACACAACTAAAGCCCAAAAAAAAAACAAAACAAGCCCCAAAAAAAAACCAAAGCAACAAAGCACAACAAACATGAGTAACAGCGTTAGAAAGATAGCAAAACCTAGCATAATAACAATGACAGACTTGCATAATATGAGTATGAGCATAATATGATACCATAATAGGAATGACAATATAATGGATAAAAAAAAAACGAATTTGTATCCAAAACCTAGCAAAGCTGAAGCAAACACACCAAAGCATCATATAAGTGAGAGATGAGAAAACAATGAACCCTAGAACTATGGACACAGCAGACGACATAAAAACTCAGAAAATCAAAGAGGTATCCACCAACCAAACTCACCAAGAAGAGGAAACTAAGACTCGGTGAAAGTGTGTAAGGTAAGGGAGAAAAAACTAAACAAAAAAAAACCTAAAAATGACCTCCACAAACGCCGAAATGACAGAGAAAATCAAAAAGAGGGAAAAACTTACCAAAGTTGAATCGGAGATGAAAGAAGGAGGATGGCAAAATCAAGCCCCAAAGAGATTGCAATCCAAGCCCTAGGGAAGAGAGACTGAAAAATGGGGGAAAAATGAACTGAAGAGTTGAGGGAGGGAGTTTTAAACAAAATTAGGCCCCTTAAGCGTGGGGTTTAACGCTCGAGCATGAGACAAAGCACGCAGAGACCCGCTCGAGCGCTAAAAAGGACGCTTGAGCTCAAAACAACCCTCACAGAACTGTAAAGCATGGGCAAAAATGCTGCAAGACCCAAAACCACGCTCGAGCGTGGGAATGTCCGCTCGAGCGGGGACAAGACATCATTTTTTTTTTTTTAATAAAAACAAAAAAACACCTAAGATGTCCTGTTACTAACGGGGAGTCCAATTGGAAGACTGTACCACTAGGATAAGATAGTCCATCAATTATGAATCCTGTAAACTTGTAAAAAAATTTGAAACACCAGGTCATGAACAGAACAGATAGAATTTAATCAATGACATGAGCAACATACGAATGCATAACTCAAAAACACCCATGAGAGCTCACAAATAGAATGTATGTGTGTGCAATCCTTGAGAGCCACAAAGCTAGAGTTAATCTTCGTAGTGATCGGATGGCTGGACCTCTGACTAGAGTAACTGAACATCACAGAGAAACAAGGTTGTTAAGATCGGGATCCTACATAGGATCGTTTTGGGGGTCTGGAGGATCGGATCGTAGGATCGGATCGGGGATCGTAAGATCCCACTAAAACGATGAAAAAATGCAATAATTCTTATGTCTAACTAATACTATCAAAATACATATAAAATGACCCAAAAAAACTTGAGAATGTAGCTCAAATGGTAGAGCTCTCATACTTATGAGCAGATCGAGGTTCAAATCCTCGTATTCTCACTTGTGTGCCTTGCTCACTAACAATAATCAATTCAAATATACATTTTGCACATTTTTTTAAACAAAGAAAACATAATAAAAGAAGGTGGCAATTCACGTTGTCATTCAAACATTTTCCTCAAATCTTAACAAAAGAACATACTAAAAGAAAATAGCAATTCAACTTCAAGTCTTCAAGTTAACACTTGCACAACATTGATATTCTTAAGAAAACAAACTAAAATAATAGAAGAATAAATAAATAAGAGACTAAAATAAGTCATTATCTTCATCGCCGAAATCATCATTGCCACAATCAACAACATTGTTGATCTCATTGTCTCCCTCATCTTCATCATCACCCACAGTGTCACCCAACTCCTCAATGTCATCATCACCAATAGTAGCATCATCAAAGTCATGATCAAAATCCCTTGGAGCATTCATGTTGTCATCCATATCATCATCATCACTTACTTCATGAATTTCATCGACATTTTCTCCAATATGGTCACGGCCTAAGTTAGAGTAAAAAAAAAAAAATCCAAATTAAATCCAAATTGCAACCTCTAATTAAAACTAAAAGATATATCATGTACCTAGACTTACATGCTTGTTCCAAATCCCTTGCAAGAGCATCTACCTCCTCATCTTCTGAATGACATCCATGTTGAGCATTCCTATCAAGCACACTCAACCAATTTCCTTCTCTTGGAAGAGTCGGCTTCTCTCTCTCTGTTATCCACTCATCGTCTGATGGAACATCATTCAAACATAATGGATTCATGATTGCTTGTCTATTCTTGTGCCTTTGTCTCAGTTTCAAATTGTACATGACAAAGACCAAGTCATTCATTCTCTTTTGGTGTAAACGATTCCTCCGCTTTGAGTGTACCATCTCAATAGCACTCCAATTGCGCTCACACCCCGATGAACTGCATGTTAGACTTAATACCCTAATTGCAAACCACTTCAACTCAGGACATTCATCACCAAAAGAGTCCCACCAATCCCCTACATCGAAATTTTAATTAAGTAGTTCAAAATTTAAAGTTCTTCAAAACAAATAATCATAACATAAGATTGATACAACTTACAAATCAACTTAGGGTAAAAATAAATAACCTGGAGATTTCTTTTTTCTAGTCAAGATTGCATTTTGTATACCAAAGAGTCCTCTTGCATTCTTGAATGCATCAATTTGCAAATCTATCTTCACCCTCTCATTAGTGTCAGGGACCATTTTTTCAAGACATTTGTACAACCCAATTTTAATCTATGAATCATCTTGAAAATTGGGACTATAATGAAACTGAGGGTTCAAGAAGTATGCTGCAGCATGCAATAGGTGATGGAGTTGGGTTTCCCATCTTCTATCAATGATGGCCTATATAAGATCATAGCTGACACAATCTAATAAATATTATTAATGAATAAATAAAAAGTTTAGGGAAACAGTATTAAAGAGTACATAACCAACACTAAATAAAAAGTTTACCATGTTAGGACATTATTGAAATTCTTTTGAATTTCCTCTTTCGCACGATCCATTGCTTCATAAATGAATCCTATTGCCGGATGCTCATCCGAATCCACCAACCTAAGTACCTTAATGAGAGGTACTGCAGCCTTCAAGCAGGTAGAAACACCCTTCCAAAAATGTCGATTGTCCAAAACAATATTTTCAATTTTTTTCCCCTTTTCAGACTTCACAAATCTACTATTCCTCCACTTCTTTGATGTAAATAGAGAGACCAATGCACCTTTTTGCTCATGAAGACGTCTCAATGTCAAGTAAGAGGTAGCAAACCGAGTTACCGCAGGCCTTATTAGTTCAATGTCTTTTGTAAACTCCTTCATCCAATGAATAAGATTGGTTCTTGAATAAATGTATGCCACAATCTTTTTTCCTTTACCAATTGTAACACGATGAACTTGTATTTCCTTCTCAAAATCTTCTAACATCAAATCTATGCAATGGGCGGCACAAGGAGTCCAAAACAAGCCCTTTCTCTTATCCATTAACATTCGTCCCGCCAATTTATAATTAGAAGCATTGTCAGTTACAACTTGCACAACATTTTCTTCTCCAACCTTCTCAACAACCTCATCTAACATCTCAAAAACCTTTTCACCCGTTTTTGAAATGTCGGATGTATCTAGTGATGACAAAAAAATAGTTCCATTAGGGCTATTCACAAGAAAATTACATATGGATCTTCTCTTTCTATCTGACCATCCATCCGACATAATTGTACATCCGGTCTTCTTCCATTGTTCCTTAAACTCATCAACCAATTGTAGTGTCTCATGCACTTCTTTTTTTTAAAATGTCACCCTAATTTCATGGTAAGATGGTGGCACAAGTCCTTTTCCATAATCCCCAATCTTCTTAACCACGAGTAGAAATATAGGGTTGTTCACACAATTAAAAGGAATTGCACTAGTGTAAAAAAAACGAGCTATAGTTTGACAAACATCATCTCTCTCTTCTTTCTTAAACATTTGATTGAGAGTTTTTGATTTCAACGTCCAGATTTCTTCATCACAAATTTATCCATGGTACCCACCCGTTGTTGTTTGTTTTGATGATGACATGATAATAGTTCCACCTCCTCTTCAGAATCATCACCAACATCAAACATCTTTCTCTTTTTATTTTGAGACTCTAATGTTTGAGTTTTTAAAAGACTCATGAACTTTTCTCTAACATCTTCTGGGACTTGAGGACGTGGCTCAACATTTTGATGAGTACATGCTAAATGATGTTTTAATCTAAATATACCTCCCGATCAAGTCACGTTACAATACTTGCATTGTATCTTTTTGGTTGCAGCATCTATTTCAATTCCATGTTCCCAACCAGGATCCGTTCGGTTACCCGCAACATTTTTCCTTTTCCTCCCTCTTCCAGAACCAGAGGCAGACATTGTTAACTCAATTCACAAACCTACAATCATATATTGAATATCACTGAATCAATTGATTACAATTTACAATTTGATAGTTGTGAAATATCAGAGAGAAAAAAGTCGAGTTACAGTCAAGATGCTGGCATAATAAATTCATGGATAAACTTTTAGCAAAGCAAAAGGATTAGTAGTAAAGCCATGAAACTTAACGAAACAATCACAATAACAAATTTGGTTTTCTTATTGCACATCATAACACATTAAAAAAATAAAATAAAATAAAAAAGTATATGTTTAATCCAATCTTTATAGTGAAACCTGTATGAAGCTGCACTTTTCCTTGGTGGTATCTGCAAAAATAAATTACAAGTTCAAAATTAGGTTGACATAACATCTTCTTATCCATCCTTACAATCTTGTGAGACAAAAAGAACACATAGAAGAAGAGGAGGGAAAAAAATGGAAGCAACCAAATGAAAAATAGAACAGAATAAAAAAACAGAATAGAAAAATAACAAAAAAAAAAAAAACAGAAACAGGAGCAGAAGACAACATAAAAAAATGGAAAAACGAAAGAAAGGGAAAAATGGAAGAAGAAGGGGAAAAGGGGGAATAACAAAAGGGGAATGAAAAACAGAAAAATGGAAGAAGAGGGAAAAAAAGCAGTAGCAGAAAAGGGGAAAAAAATGGAAGAGAAGAAGAAGAAGAAGAAGAAAAATACTCCTTCCGTCCCAAAATAATGGTCCCTTTTGGGGAATTTAACTTTTTTTGGTAGTACAATTATTGCATTTGAAAAAAGTTAATTTTTCAAAATTACCCTTTTGATGGTACATTTTTTGGGAATATCAATGTCATAATTGTACTTTTTATATTGTTTATTAATTTAAAAGAAGGGCAAAATAGGAAATTTATATTATTTTTGTACTTGATTTTTGAAGAGAGACTAATATTTTGGGACAATGAAAAATGGAATAAGGGACTAATATTTTGATTTTGGGACAATGAAAAATGGAATAAGGGACTAATATTTTGGGACGGAGGGAGTAAAAAGAACTCGAACAGAGGAGAAGAGAAGGAGTCGAAGCACAGAGAAGAAGAGAAGAATGAGTCGAACAGAGTAGAAGAAGAAGAAGAAGAAGAAGAAGCATACCTGGATGGAGGCTGGATGGATTCTTCTCACTGCTGCTTTCGTCGTCTGCTATCAGCTCTCGTGACCAACTTTCCCCAATCTTTTGCCCTAATCTTATGTCGTGGGCCTTTAGAAAAGAGAGAAGGCATCAAACCTGTATTAAAAATTTGAGAAAAAAGGCCAAAAGTAGGATCGTATAGGATCGCGATCCAAATACGATCCTATGATCCCATATACGATCCCACCAATCCTGTTACGATCCTGAACAAAATGCGATTCATCATACGATCCAGATCGATTCTCCAAAAATGGATCGTAGGATTGTACGATCCTACAATCCGGATCGCGATCTTAACAACCTTGGTCAAACCACTAGGAATCATGGGGTATTTGTTGAGTAAACGCGGAGGCTTCCCCTTAATCAATGATTCCCCTTTTTTTTTTTTTTTGAACTTTTCTTTCTTGTGGGCACTCACTGGTGGCATGCACGCTCAAGAGTATGGAGACCAAACCAGAGAAGAATGAAATAAAAAAGGATGGCCTGGTTGGTGCCTCTGAGGTAGCCTTTTCCTAATGCCTGGATTTCAATGAACTGAGGGAGAAACCATGGAAGTGAAAAAAGATGGTAGATGGTTAAGAGACTCAACATCGCCCATGATATACTAGTATAGGTCAATTCCTCTGAAAAAGTACAAGAAACACTGTTAGTGGTCCATAGAGAACTTTGATCACTTGTGCGGAAACCCCTACAACAGTTTATCTCAAGGATGTGTACAGAATGAGATCATGAAGTAAATGAGTATGAGCATTCAGAATGAGCTATGAACAAAGAAGAATGAGATCTTGTAAGCAGCATGAGCAGTGTTCATATAAATTTTTGATGCAAAGATATCAGGACTAAATGACAATGAGATTATCACACCCAAGTATACAATAAGCCAACCACTCAAACCCATTTTAGAAAACAGGAAACACCCTAGTTACTGAGCACTACACCCAAGGTCTTTATAAGAAACTCAAACCAAAGAAGATCAAGGGATTTTGTAAAAATATCAGCTTTTTGATGTTCAGTGGATACATGTTCAAGAACAACAAGGCCTTCTTCCACTAACTCTCGAATAAAATAATGACGGATGTCAATGTGTTTGGTGCGAGAGTGTTAGACAGAATTTTTTGAAATATTTATGGCACTTGTGTTATCACAGAAAAGAGTGAGAGTGTTCTGTTCTATCCCATAATCATGCAGCATTTGCTTCATCCACGGCATTTGTGCACAACAACTTCCTGCAGCAATATAATCAGCCTCAGCAGTCGAAAGGGAGATGGCATTTTGCTTTTTACTATGCCAGGAAACCAAATTATTCCCAAGGTAAAAACACCCCTCGGATATACTCTTCCTATCATCAGCACACCCTGTCCAGTCGGCATCAGAAAAACCAATAATTTCAGTTGTAGTATCAATAGAAAACCAAACCCCATACCCCAATGTCCCGTTAACATATTTAATGATGCGTTTGACAGCAAGAAGATGAGACTCTTTAAGGCTGGCTTGGTAACGGGCACAAACACCTACACTGAAAGCAATATCAGGATGACTGGCTATGAGGTAAAGAAGACTCCCTATCATACTCCTATACAGGGTAGGATCAACATCAGTACCAGAGGAATTTTTGGAAAGGTAAATTCTGGTGCTCATGGGAGTGCGAGCATGTTTGGCAGACTCAAGACCAAACTTTGACACAAGATTTTTGGCATACTTAGACTGAGAAACAAACATACCTGAAGGAGATTGTTTAATTTGAAGACCCAAAAAATAAGACAACTCTCCCATCATGCTCATCTCAAACTCATGTGTCATGCAATCCGAAAAATATTTCACAAGATGATCAGCAGTGGATCCAAACATAATATCATCAACATAAATCTGAGCAACAAGAATATGAGACTTAGTATGTTTCACAAATAAAGTCTTATCCATACTACCCCTTTGAAAATCATTATCAAGAAGAAAGGTAGTAAGTCTATTATACCAAGCCCGAGGGGCTTGTTTCAACCCATACAAAGCCTTGTCTAACTTGTAGACATGATTTGGACATTTAGGGTCCTCAAACCCTTTTGGTTGCTCAACATAGGCCTCTTCTTTCAAGTACTCATTCAGAAAGGCACTTTTCACATCCATTTGAAACAATTTGAAACCAAGAAAACATGCAACACCAAGTAACATACGAATAGATTCGAGACGTGCAACTGGAGAAAACGTCTCATCATAGTCAACACCCTTTACTTGTGTGTAGCCTTGAGCCACTAACCTGGCTTTATTTCTAACCACAGTACCATTCTCATCAGATTTATTTTTAAAGATCCACTTGGTACCTATCACATTCATGTCTCTAGGTCTGGGAACTAGAGTCCAAACATTGTTACGTTCAAATTGACCTAATTCTTCATGCATAGCGTTGACCCAACTATCATCTAGCAAGGCCTCTTTAAAATTCTTAGGTTCAATTAATGAAACATAACACATGTGATACCTCATCCCGAATCTGTCTTCGGGTTTTTATTCGATTCGATACACTTCCAATCACCTGTTGAGCTGGATGATTCAGTTTCACCCTTGCTAATGGTTTGAACTCAGGACTTGCGGTGACAGAAGCATCAGGAGTGATGTTTCTTTGTGCACTCTTTGGACTTGAACTTACCTGTGAGGATGGTGTTGTCACAACTTCTTGTGCTTGGACCTCAGCTTCTCTTTGACTTTGTGGTTCAGTATCCAGGATTGGAGACTCACCATTGTCATCCTCGTTTGTTACTGGAGTAGGTGAACCCGTGTCATCTATAACCACATTGATAGATTCCATTAAAGAAGAAGTTCGCATTATAGACTCGAAAAGCCCTACTAGTGGTTAAATATCCTAGAAAAATACCTTCATCACTTCGGGAGTCAAATTTGCCCAAAGGCTCTCTATCTTTGAAAATGTAACACTTACTCCCAAAAGTTTTGAAGTATTTTACATTAGGTTTCAAACCCTTCCACAATTCATATGGAGTTTGCAACGTGCCGGGCCTTAAATACACGCGATTTATGACATAAACAGCAGTATTTAGGGCTTCAGCCCAAAACTTTGGAGGAAGTTTCTTACTAAGGAGCATGACTCTAGCCATTTCTTGAACAACTCTGTTCTTCCTCTCAACCACTCCATTTTGTTGTG